AGGATGGGAGGAAAGTAGGGTATTAAAGAGATAAGTAAATGAGGAAAAGAGGAAGGAAGGGATGAAGGAAGAGAAGTGAAAGAGAGAAAGAAAAGGAGGGAAAGAAAAGGAAAGGGGAAGGAAAGGAGGGAAAGAAAGAGGGCAAATCAAGCCCAATCAAGCCTCCGCCACCCCCTGCGGATCCCTCACTTACCCCGGGAGGTGGCGGGGGGCCTCTTCTGGCCTCCTCCGGGCTGCAGCTCTCCGGTGCTGGTCCAGGGAGGCGGTGGAGAGCATCTTCTGGCCTTCCCCCGGGCCGCAGCGCTCTGGCGCGGGCCCTGGGGAAACAGCGATGGCCTTCTCAGGCCTCCCCGGGGCCACAGCACTCTGGTGCGGGCCCCGGGGAGGTGGCGACGGGCCTCCTCAGGCCTCCCCGGGGCCGCAGCGCTCTGGTGCGGGCCCTGGGAGGCCGGCGACAGGCCCTAGCGCAAGGAGCTGGGGGCGGGGCTTGCTGCCACTGCCATTTTGCCTGCTCCTGGAGCAGCGCTCCGGCGGGCTCAGGCCCCAAAAGACCCCTGCTGTTGCCACAGAAGGTCGGACAAGAACCAACAGATTGAAATGAAATCAGAAGCGTTTTCAGCTAAACATTGGGCTAAACATTCCTGATAGAGTAGTTCCTCAGTAGAACAGGCTTCCTCAGGAGGTGGTGGGCTCTCATTCTTTGGTGGTTTTCAAACAGAGGCTAGATGGCCATCTGACAGCAATGCGGATTCTGTGAACTTAAGCAGATCATGAGAGGGAGGGCAGGAAGGGTTGGATCAGTGCTTAGTTCTTGTGGCCCTTTCTTACATACCCAGGGAAATGCTGATTGCCACTTTGGGGTCAAGAAGCAATTTTTCTCCAGGCCGGTTTGGCCAGGGATCCTGGAGGTTTTTTTGTCATCTTCTGGGCGTGGAACAGCAGTCACTGTGGGTGTGGAGGAGGAGGTATTTGTGAATTTCCTGCACTGTGCAAGGGGTTGGACTAGATGACCCTGGAGGTCCCTTCCAACTCTATGATTCTATGACTATCCAGAACCAGGCTGGATCTTTTATGCCAGGGGTCCCCACCCCAACCTTTTTGAGCCTATGGGTATCTTTGGAATCCTTACACAGGGTGATGAGTGCAAGCACAAAATGGCTGCTGCAAAAGACAGAGCCAACCACAAAATTCCAGGGAGTGAGGTCCTGCATAACTCTTATAGTAGCTCTTGAACATTTCAGGCAGAAGCTCTTTTGAACTGGATGTCTAAAAACAGTTGGCAGGAATGTTCCCTCTAAGCTGTGGAATCTTGTGAGCAAAAATTCTACTTTGTGAGCTGCTGCCATTAAAGTTGTGAGCAAGCAGTTTGGCTACTGCATGAATTAGTTTGTTCTGGAGCCCTCCTTCCTGAGCTGAGACAAAAATTTATGAGCTGGAGGCTAAAAAACTGTGAGCTAGCTCACACTAACTCAGCTTAGAGGGAGCACTGGACTTGGCAGGTGCCCAAAAGGTGTCGATGGTGCTCATGGGCACCACATTGGGGACCCCTGCCCTGTGTATACAATATTGCACTTTGGATTATTCAAAGTACTTTGCACCTTGCAGATATTGTCTCAGTGATCCTGCTCCCTAAGATTATAGGGGTTTAATATTATAGGGGCTTAAGACCAACTAGAGCTTGCGGCTGAAGTGAGGTCTGAACTGGAGACTTCAGGTTCACTGTCTCCTAGCCACTATGCCACACTGCCAGTACAATCCTGAAGACAATTAACACCCTTCTAAGTCCACCGATGTCAATAGGTTTAGAGGAAAGATGTAACATCATTTAGGATTAAACTGTCGCTGTCAGACCCTAGAGTGATAGTAGAACTTATGGCCGACCCTCATGGCATCTAAAATTGAGTATTTTGCGCCTCTCAAGGCAGTGAATTCTGAATGCTGGTCTGAAGCAGCATGTAGTAATGGGTTTTTCTTTCCCCCTACTGCGTTCCTTTTCCATGTTCTTGTCTAATGTATTGATTGAGAGAAGAGATGAGAGTCGCTGTTCGCATTCCACGTCTCAAAACCACAATGTGTCAGCTCAGCAGGCCTTTTAAACTGAGTTACTGGAGAACTGCATTGTACCGAGGTTTGTACAGCAGCATTACCTGTAGATCACGCTTTCGCGTCATCTATGTGAACAATACACCCAGCAGGTCGACTCAGTGTTCCATCTCATGCACATGGAGATCTTCTGCTAAGGCGAGCACAGTGAGCCCGGCTGATATCACACCTGACTGCTTTTGGCCTTGCCCAGCACAACAGATGTTTGTTCGTGGGCTGAATGACCCCTACCTGACAGGTCTGGCTAGTGTAGCCCTCAAATCTCCACTGAAAGTGTGGATTGCTAGCTGGCTTTAAGAGTAGGGCTGGTGGCAAGATGCTGAAAGGTTCAAGTAACATCTCTAACTACTGAGCCAGAGGGCATCACGGATGGAAGTGGAGTCAGGGGGCTTGGTGTTATAGTGGCTGCTTTGCATACAAGAGCCCAGGTTCAGCCTCTGCAATCTCCAGTTAAAAGGATCAGGTGATGCAATCTTTTTACTGCCAGCCAGGGCAGACAATACTGACCTTGACAGACAGTCCAGTGGCTAGACTCTGGATGAGACAGCTTCATGTCCTGAAGTTCTAGTTCTTAGAAACAGCTGTCCGATCACCAGGAATAGGTTTATTTTGGGTGCCCACGTACATATATTATGTCTGCTTCCTCACTTCTTTTAAGTAGGATTCACAGGGGGTATGGTAGTTCGATTTGAGTCCAACAAGAGTTTCAGGGTATAAGCTTTCCAGCTCTCTTTCTCAGACCCCAGGAGAGTAGAAATGTAAAATCTGAGACCTTCTATCCTAGTTAGAAGGTGGCAGGGGTGTTGTAAAGAATGCTTCTAAAAGAGGCAAAGGTACAATGTATATTTAAAATTGTACATAGGGGATGTGAAAAACTCAGGGAATGGCTATGAGAGCACAAGGTCCTCCCATATGTGCATCCCAAGCTGGGCTTTACAAGGGGTTCCTAGAGAAGTGACAACCCCCTGAAAGAAAAAGGCATATGCAGGACTTGCCGGGGTGGGGGGTGGGGAGTGAAAGAGATCCTTCTTGAGTTTCTCCCCATTCGCAGCGCCAGGCAGGGCTCAGGCATGGAGAGGGCGAAACAATGCAGATGGGTTTTGTGTATGTGCAGAGCGTGCTACCGTCGTGCTTTTCCTATTCGCTCATTCAGCGGGTCAGAAGGTGTCACTTGCCCACTGGGCTTGAACTCCGGCGCCTTCCTCTCCGGGAAATGGAGGCGCAGCCCCCGGCCCACGAAGGAGAGACACTTCCTTCCCCAGAGATTCGCCTGACGGGCGAGTGAGCGCGCGTGTGTTTTGCGCCCTCCCAGCCTTCTCTGCCGCAGCAGCCCGTGTAAAACGGTTCCAGCCAAAGGCGCGCGCAAGCACCCGCGCTCCTCTTCTCCACGGCGACTCGCCTTTCAGGCCAGCCCAGACGAGCCTCCCGCCGTCCGGGGCCCGCCTCCTCTGTCTCGGCGGCCCCGCCCACTCCCAACCGGCGGGCTCCTCCTGGCTCCGCCCCGCCGCCTGCCCGGCTCGGCTAGTTCCTGACTGTCGCTGCCGCTGCTCTTGCCGCATGCTGTTTCGTGCTGTTGCCGGAGGAGCTGGAAGATGGCGGAGCCGGGGCCGGACTGCAGCGCGCTTCTGGACGAAGAGCTCTCCTCCTTCGTCTTCAACTATCTCACAGACAGTCAGGTACGGCTTTCCGGGAGGGGGGGGGAGGGGGGGTTGTGGGGGTGTGTGAAAAGCGAGCCTCGGCGGGGCGCAGCCGGCACGTCCGGGTCTGGCGCGCGCTGAGCAGTCGTCGGGACTCCGCGGCAAGGGGGGAGACCCTGGGGTGCCAAAGAACTGTGCTTCTGGGGCGCGGGGGGGGGGGGTTCACCTCGTCGTGCATCGGGGAGTCTGGGTTTCAGGGAGCCCGGTGCAAGGATCCGAGAGCGACCGCGCGCCGCGAAATCCGAGGCTCAGCAGACCCGGATCCGTTATGCCTCGGGGAATCTGGGTCGCAGGAATCCCCGACTTGACAGGCACGAGGGAGTTTGGGGCGCAGGGAGCTGGCACCCACTCTGCCTGGAATCTGGGGCGCGGGGGAAAGGGGGGGGAGAGAAGGCGGCTCTGGAGGTTCCGATCCAACTTGCAAGTGGAACTCTGGGGCACGAGGTCCCCGGCATAGCCGTGCACAGAAGCGGAAAGGCACATTTTAGGAAACCGGCTCGGATCCACTGTGCCGCTCTCTTGTCTCGCTGAGCGGGAAGCGAGAGGGTGGGGAGGACTTTTGATTTCTCCACAGCGGCGTCTCATGGCCCAGGCAGGGAGAGAGAGAGGAGGGAAAGGAGGCACACGGTCGTCCTGACGAATGCCAGTGCACCCAAGGACTAGATCTGCGCACGCCGGGACTCGGGATTCCTCCATACCCCAGACAGCAGGAGGGAGGGAGGGAAGCTGCACACACGGACTGCAGGCAGAGCGCCCAGGAGGAGCGACGAGGGAGGCTCCAGCCAACAGCCCTGGAGGCTCGCGTGTGGCTCTCATGCAACAGTCCAAGAAGATCTGGCGGAAGGGAGGACGAGGGAGCGGTCTAGCCGAGGGACTCATACTGACCGCCGCTCCCCCCCCCCCGGCCCCCCCCCCCCCCCCCTGGGTACCAGAGGAACGGGAAGAGAACCCTGAAGAGCCCGCGGACTCGTTCAGCACCACTCGCACGTGGACTAGTGGGTCATGCTGCCGGCACTGCCCCAGATTCGCGCGAGCGTCCTTAAGCGGTGGCCGTGCAGACTCCCTTGCGGGGCCTTTGGTGGCTGGAGGTGGCTCCGGTGGGAAAGCCAAGGGCAGAGAAGTATGCTCATGCAAGGCTTACACGCCCCCCTCCCCGGTGGAGGTGGCTTGGTGTTCTGGAAGCGCGGCTGTGGCTTTCTTGCCTGGGATGTAGGTGGGCAGGAGAACCGGCAGGAGTAGACGGATGCTAGAGGTGCCCCCTCCCCCCCCCGCCTCCTAGGGATTTGCTGGTGGGAGCTCTAATTTCTGAGGCTGTGCTCGTGAGTCATGTGGCTGGCTGCTTTCGTACCTGCAGCTCTGGAGTGAGGGCGAGGGGAGCGCGCACGAGGGGGGTCGGTCTTAGTTGCTACAGATAAGCAACTTTGCCAGTCTCTCCCGTTTAGACAGAGCTGGCTGTTAAAATCAGATTAAGGGTTTCTTGGCAGCTCTTGCCCCTGATCACGAGGGAGAGGGGTTCCTGCTGGAAGGGGGAAAGGCAGAGCAGGGCTCCGGGAGTCAGTGCTGCAAGACCATCATGCATCTCTCGAGCCTGTTGTAATTGCAAAGAGTTTTCCATGGTTACGATTCCACTCCCCCCCATGTCCTCCCTTCCCCCCCCCTCATAAACAGAGATTATTAACCAGCTTTGATTTGGGATGCTGCACATTTTGCTCTTTTCTCCTTCCCTCGGTTGTACTTATTTAGTTGCCTGTAAGAGGGTGGGGGTAAAGTCGCCTGAGTTTGTATCCCAAACAAGCAATGGAGCCCTGGACTTGGTCACTCGGCTGTGTCTCTGGCGGGTGTGTGTGAGACAGAACCGGGCTGGGCCTGTTCCAAGCTCGTCCCGTGCAGTCTGAGCACCTTCGCTCTGGTGCCAATGCTGGCGCTTTCCAGTTTGTCATGGGGCGCATTGGCTAGGAGGACTTTTCAGAATTAACTAGCAGATGCTGACAGTTTGATTAAAGAAGTATGGGCAGTGTATTTTGTAAGCAGGGTTCGTGTTCTGCCTTGCAAAGGGGTTCTTTATGTGATGCTGTGAAAACCATCAGCTAAGAAACTTTGGTAGGTCAATAGAAGGCATATTTGCTTTTGGGGGAAAATTATTACAGACAGCAGAGTTTAAAGGCTGTGCAAAATGGTCTGCCTCCCTGTGTCGAATGACATGACTGCTGCATCCTTAACACAATTCCCCCATTCCTATTGTGTGACGTTTGAGGGCTGGGATGTATATGATGTCATTGGGGGTTCAGACCCACCTGAGTGATGTGTATGGAACGGCTTCTGAGTGCACGTTTCTTGAAAGCCCAAACTGTCTTCCAAAAGACAAGAGGATATGCACCAACCCCATGCGGCTCAGTTTACTTACGTCCCACTGTTGCTAATGAGTAACTACGAAAGTCTAGTATGGTAACCCTTGAGTTGATATTTGCTTGCTGCTGCAGGCTCCTTTGCTTGGAGGTCCTTTTAATCTTTGGATGACCCTTTTGCCTGTTCTCATTCATGCACAAGGATTAACATTCTGGAGTAAAAAGACAGAGCTGCGTGTGATTTCTTTTGCAAAAGAAGAAGAAGCAGCTGTCAGGGTGCCTTGCGTTTTGTACCTTAACCTCTGACAAAATGGCAAGGAAGGCTTCAGCCTTGGCCTGGCCAGTCATGTGCTTTGCTTGTAACTATATGCGGGAGGTGGTTCCTGGGCTTGTCTCTGACGTCTCTCCCCTGTTACTACTACTATACTGTGCTAGCCTCTGCTTTCTCGGCTGGGCGGCTGAGTTCTCACTGGAGTCTGAAATCGCCTCCTGCAAAGCCCCCCCCCCCATGTTCTAGTGCAGGATCAGGTTATCCTAAGAGGCTACAATGTCAGGAGGTGCTGAGATAGTTGAATCTATTATCCAATCCTTTCTCACAGAGATCCTGAAGAGTTTTGGTGCTGCCCATCAGACATCTCAATACTCCCCTCCCCCTCTTTGCTTTGCAGCAGCACTGCAGAAATTCACACCAGGGTTCTCCTGAATATTACATAGCCCAGGTGGAGCCAGAGCATCCTCACAGAAGTGCAGTGAAATTCCACCCCTTACTGGTTTCCGTATGGAGCTTTCGGGCTCACCTTTTCCAGCCATTCAGTACGGAGGGAAAGAATGCATAATAAAAAAATAGCTGCATTGCAACAGATAGAGAATAAAGGCCTGCAGTCTGATCTTTCATCAACATGGGCTTATTGTGTTATGCACGAGCCGGGATGATGCATTCTGGCCTTCTCGTTTCCAGTTTGTAGCCATCCATTGCTAATCCATCAGGTGTTGGGAGGCATCAGGAATTACTGATGTCAACTGCAAAGGAGACAGGAGTTAGAGGTTCTTTGCTGTTTCTCTCTGAGTGTGAGAGAGAGCCCTTCGACTTTTTGTGATTTGTCGAAGGGAAGATAATAACAATGCAGGCCGCCACTTGGTGCTTCCCCGGGCAATATTTCCTCCTTATTTTCTCAGCATCTTGTTAGCAGCTCAATTAATTAACGGCAGGAGAAGTAAACTATTATTGACTAGAGCAAAATGGTTTGTCTTCTCTCAGGCATGCACATACTCCCAACTCTGCCATGGACTCTCCTGTTGCTTCTTTTGGCTGGCATGATCTATTGCTCTTTGAGTGTCTGTGTCTCTATCAGTTAAATGAGGTAAAAGGGTGAGTATTCTTTTTTCTTGGCCTGCTGAGGAAGTTCGTCCTGGGCAGAGCGATGTGCCAGGTGATTTTGTGTCCTGATTCTGAATGCCTTGGTTAGCCTTCCTTCATTATCTGGGAGAGGGAAGACCCATTTTGCATTCTGCTGGGTTTAACTCTTGTCTGTTTCAAAGGTTTATTGAAGAGGAGAGGCAGGAGAAGGGGGTTCTTGTCTACCTGTTTCATGTTTTCCAGCCCTAAATGGGCATTTGGTTATCCAGCATTGCCACCACTTCACTGTGTGACCAAACTTAGCGCAGACATGTTTCCACCCACATTTGGGCAAGCATCGAGGATCATATTGCCTGGTCCCTACTTGTGACCTTGATCTTTTGAATGCACTCAGAGGGGCGGCAGTAGTCTTTCTTGGTTGCTTGTTTGTTTCATTTAGAGAAATGAAAACAGATGCTTTCCTTTTAATATGGCTTCAGCAACCTTGAACAAACAAAGACTTAAAATGAAGAGCTGAATGACATGATCAAGTCCTTCCTGGACTCTTCTACTTCAGATAAAGAGAGGGGATGCTATTTTGGGATGTCCTTGATGCTGAAAATGCCCTGTGTGTGGAAAGTTAGCATATCACCAAGAAGGCTGTCTTGATTTTCTCCCATGAAGATCATTTTGCACATGGAAGAGGGAGCATTTAAATACGCTGTCCCCAGGTGGAGCCTGAAATGGTACAGACTGCCACATGAAACTTTTGAATATTTAGGTTGTGTGATTGTGTCTAAGATAGCAATTCTAATTAGAGTTACTTAGAGATGTTCTATGGGAATTAGTGGAAGATTTCTGGGTAAGTGTATATAGAGCTTGTGCATAAGGCAGAAATCATGTGGTTCGTGGGAATGGCAAAGTCCACATACTCCAGAACAACATTTCCAGACTGGAACCCACCGTTAACCCTTGTATGGCAGCTCGAGACCCACAGAGCTGCAAGCATGTGACAGGGATTAATGTGACACCAGAGTCATATCACAGGAAGAGGACGAAGCAGAGTCGTGATCTCTTTGGTGAGGCATGGGGTTCCACACTGCAAGCCCAAGTGCAGCATTTGAGGATTGACTTGGGAGTGTGTGTATGTGTGTGGCAAAGGATAGCTTTTGGGCTGAGAGAAAGCAAGGGAGCACTTTAGCAGGGTGTGTGTCCATTTGTCTGTCCTTGTACTTGCCTGCACTTAGGAATCCTCTTTTTTTTTAATAAGCCCCCGGAGGGGATTTTTTATTTTTTTA